ACGTCTCTTGAAGCACAGATTTGGGAGGGGGTGGATTTATTTTGCTGGAAACATGATCCAGTTGTTTATACACTTTAATTAATGGAGACAAAAATTGTAAAAAATATATACATATGTATATACTTATACATGTCTGTGCACACGTGCATGTGTCTGCGTATTTGTGTGTGTGCGGGTATGGGTGTATACAATGACAGAATGTATATATTGCAGTTTAAAATGCCAAGAATTTAAATACAACTTTTTTTCTTTTTTTAAAGATTTTATTTATTTATTTGACACAGAGAGAGCACAAGCAGGGGGAGTGGCAGAGGGAGAAGCAGGGAGTCCGATGTGGGGATCGATCCCAGGACCCCGGGATCCTGACCTGAGCTGAAGGCAGACACTTAACCAGCTGAGCCACCCAGGTGCCCCTAAATGCAACTTCAAGGAACTTGAATCTGTAAGTTCCTTGGTCGCTTGTAAGTTCAGAATGCTTGCCTGTGAAGATCTGAAAACGTGTTTTAAAGGCGGGGGTGGGGGGTGTTGGTAGATTTGCTTACTGTAAACTCTCTGGGAACATCTGTGTGCCAGAGAAAGATTTTCTCAGCACAGCTTGAATAGATCCAATTGCATTTAAGACATAGATTTGTCACAAATTTTCAGCAGTGGATCAAGTTTTTGCAAACCATGGTCAAGGCTTGTATTTTGATATTTTGATGTGGTTATCACCTTGGCTTTTAGTTTCAAGAGGACCCAGTGATTTACTTACCATCAGATTTTGCCTTTCCCTGGTGATGCCTTTTCCCTCCAGGCAGGGCGGGGCGGTGTCTGAATTCTATGGGTGGGGCCCCGGGGCCCTCTTGATGTGGGACGCCTCACCCCTGGGTTCCTCAGGCTTGGTGTGCTGCCTGGCTGGTGTTCCTGTTTAAGTCCCTGTCCCTGTTTTAAAGTGATCCTCACTTCTTGTTTGTTGTGTTGTAATTACTGTGGTGAACAGTGTCCACTCGTGCTTAGTGTGTAGGGCAGCATTTCCCAAACTGTGTTCCCCAGAACACTCAGAAGACCATAAGCAGCCAGATAAGTTTGGGAAATTGCACATGCTGTATGTTTTGCTTGAAGATTTACAGCACGTATTAGTCTTTTGTAGACTAGGAAATTCCTGCAGGGAAAAACCATTTAGCCTTGCAGCTTCTAAATTTGCTTGATCACATGACACTTATTTCTGGTAACATTTATTAGTTTCAATTCTGTAGAACACCTTGAGAAGCCTTGCCTTGGAATAAATTTGTAGAAGTGGAACTATAGGGGCAAAGCATGTGATTGCTTATAAGGCTTGAATAACTAGACCAAATACTTGGCGGTCATGGCTGGGAACCCCGTCCTTCACCATGTCCCAGGAAGAGGGTTCTGGGTCCAGGCTGGCCTTGGAGGCTGTCCTCCCACACCTGACTCTGTTCAGCCCACTCCCAGTAGAGCGTGGGCAGATAGAGCTACAGAGGCCAAGGGCCTGTGGGAAGTCAGGATGTGTCTCTTGTTTGGTTTATAAAGAAGGTGAGTAGGTGGGCTGTGTTTCTCTCCTTGCTCAGCTCTTGGCTGGGTATTTCATTCTGCACATTCCAGCCCGAAGACCCAGTGCTGGCTGATGGTGGGAGCCAGCAGAGAGCCTGATTTGCCATGACCTTGATGCCGATCCACCCTTACTCCTCCTTCCTGCCATCTGAAGACCAGCAGGAGCTGTAAGTGCCAGAGGGGGCAGTGCTGGGCCAGGGAGCAGAGGAAGCCAAGGTGCCCACCATGAGGAGGTGCCCATGTGGAACTTGCATGTCTGCTCCTGAGCTTGGGCACGCTGTGGCTGGAGCCTTTTTGGTCTGCATCCCATCTTGTCCCCTCTGGGCCTCTCCTCTCCAACTATAGGCCCATTGAAGGCAGGACTGCTCATATTTTTCTTTCAGTTCTGGCAGCACTTTACACAGAGCTGAGCCCACAGGATACAACCATTTAGTTGTGTGCCATCTGGGGGATGCTATCATATGGAGTGCTCTCAGGCTGTGTCTACGAGCACTGGGATAAACCTGGTGTGTATGAGTGAGCCTAGTCACTTGACCTGAAACCTGCCACTGACCAAGCCCCACTAAGTGTGGCACAATATTAAAAATACTTGCGTACCGACAAGGTCAAGCACCTTAAAAAAATACTGTAGTTTCTTCTCTGCATTTTGATATCTGTGAATTTTTAATTAATTCAGAATTATTAAATATTATTAAAATAATTAATAATTATTAAAAGTAAGATATCGAAGTACTACTTAAGGAGCATTTTCCTGAGACCATCATTATATGTTGCATCAATCAGCCAAATTTTGTAGCAAAACTTTGGAGTCCTGTATTAATCTGTTCCTTATTTCTAAGAGAGGTTGTTTTGTAACATTTCTCCTTATGGGCTGCAGAGAAACACCAAAGCTGATGTGATTTGCTAAAATCCCAGGGGAGCCTTGTCAGATAATGCTGGACTCAGGACCCCTTTAGAATCAGGGCAGTGTCTTTGTGTCACCTACTTGTGTTATTAGCAGATATTTTATTTGTGATGTAAACCCCTACTTCCTACCTCCTTCCAAAAATGATTTAGGACAGATACAAAACTCATGTCAGAAACAAAATCGCGGGGATCCCTGGGTGGCTCAGTGGTTTAGCCCCTGCCATCGGCCCAGGGCCTGATCCTGGAGTCCCGGGATCGAGTCCCACGTGGGGCTCCCACATGGAGCCTGCTTCTCCCTCTGCCTGTGTCTCTGCTTCTCTCTCTCTGTCTCTCTCTCTCTGTCTCTCATGAATAAACAAATAAAATCTTAAAAAAAAAAAAGAAAGAGGGATCACTGGGTGGCACAGCGGTTTAGCGCCTGCCTTTGGCCCAGGGCGCGATCCTGGAGACCCGGGATCGAATCCCACGTCGGGCTCCCAGTGCGTGGAGCCTGCTTCTCCCTCTGCCTATGTCTCTGCCTCTCTCTCTCTCTATGTGTTACTATCATAAATAAATAAAAAAATTTTAAAAAAACTTTATAAAAAATAAAAAAAGAAAGAAAAAATCGCTTATAAGTTTAGAATGCTTGCCTGTGAATCTCTGAAAACGTGTTTTAAAGATGGGGGTGGGGGCGGTATTGGTAGATTTGCTTACTGTAAAGTCTGTGGGAACATCTGTGCTTCCCCCTCCCCCAGATACAGAGTCTGTTCCTAAGAGCCCTCCATTGGCAGCAGGGTACTGGAGATTGGAGAGAGGGCAGGGATGTGTGTGTCTGGGGGGCTGCCCGTGGACCTTGATCATGCCCTAATCTTTGTTCTTTGCACCATGCCCTGACTATGTCATCTCGCTATTGTAATCGTGTTTTAAATTAATGATTGCAGAACTATTCAAGAGTAGCAGTATTTCTCAAGAGGTGGTCCTTGGACTAGCTGTATCAGAATCACTTGGGCTGGGGAACTTATAAACATGGAGGGCCTCTCCCTGGACCCCTCCCAAGACCCACAGGGTTGGTCTCTCCCTGGGCCCCTCCCAACACCCACAGGCTTGGCCTCTCCGAAGGTGGTGGGGTTTGCATCTTTGCAAGCTCCCTGTGTGATTCTTTTTTTTTCCCTTTTAATTGAAGTACAGTGGACACACGATGTTATATTAGTTTCAGATGTACAACATAGTGATTGGACAAGTCTACATATTACTCAGTGCTCACCATGATGAGTGTGGACACCGTCTGTCACCATACAATGTTATTTCAATATTGACTATCTTCCCTATGCTGTACATTTCATCTCTATCACTAACTTATTTTAAAACAGGGAGCTCATACCTCTTAATCCCCTTCACCTATTTTGCCCATCCCTGCACCCACCTCTCCTCTGGCCATCATCAGTTCCCTGAATTTAAGAGTCTGCTTATTTGTTTTGTTTGTTTTGTTTTTTTCGGATTCCACATCTATGTGAAATCACATGGTATTTGTCTTTCTCTGGCTGATTTCACTCAGCATTATACCCTGTAGGTCCATCTATGTTGTCACAAATGGCAAGATCCCATTCTTTTTCATGGCTGAGTAATATTCCATGGCGTATATACCACATCTTCTTTATCTATCTATCAGTGGACACTTGGGCTGCCTCCGTAGTTTGGCTATTGTAGATAATGCTGCTATAAACATAGTGGGGCACATATCCCTTCAAATCAGTGTTTTTGTGTTATTTTGGTAAATAACCAAGAGTGCAATTACTGGATTGTTGAGTAGTTCTGTTTTTAATTTTTTGTGGTCCACCTGCGCTTGCCTCAGAAGCCCCCATACACACTCAGGGGACAGCGGCCATGTCATAGCTGGAGCTGGAGCATGAATTGCCATGTGCCTTCTCTGACCTCTTCTTCTCTCTCCTTCTCCTTTTCTTCCTCCTCTTCCTCTTCTGTCTCCTCTTTGCCTTCTGAGAGCCTTTGCCAGGCTGGACCCTGCACCCTGGGTGGACACATTAGCAATTGTGCAGGACACAAAAGATATGGAGAAATCCCAACACACAACATTTCTCCTATAGATAATGTTCGTTTGATACTTCTATGGCCCTGAGACATTGAAAGCATGCTCAAAATTTGAGGCCTGGGTAGGTGGACATTTACATTCAAATAACATGAGTTTGGTGCCTGTGAAAATTCTAATAAAGGGTGAGAGTGGATGGCTTATCTCTATGGGAAATATGAGTTCAAATAGGAATCTTATAAGAGAAATATTTGGCAGTAGTAGACCAGTAATACTTTTACTCCCCGCCCCCCCCCTTTTTTTAACCATTTTCTTCATTTAAAAAATATCTTTTGAAATTGTGTGGATGGCTTAAAAAAATCTTTAGCTTAACAAACATTGTAACAAAGCAACCATTTCAGTTTCAGAAATTGCCCTGGAAGCTGGGTAGAAAGGGAAAGAAGAGTTCCAAGTGATGTCATTGGTTTGTTGGGGTCTGTTTACCGTATCTCCAACCCACCATGTTGTTCTGTCATTTCAGGTGATTTTCAAAGCCAAGTCAAAATATTCTCCAGAATTACTCAAATACCGGTAAGTACCCTGACGGGGATTTCCATCTTCATTCAGCAAATATATTTCTGACTATTTAGGACTCAGTTAGGCACCCTGAGGGAGAAATATAGTCTGCGTCTGCAAGAAGCAAACACTCTGTAAAGATGTCCTAAACAACACAGAAACTCACAGCATCAGGCAGAGTAGCAGATGTTCGGGAGCACGGGCAGTCTCCGCCTTGGGCTGCTATGTTCTGTGAGAGTCACAGGAATTTTATGGAAGAAGTCAGTCAGTGCTGGGCTAAAAAGAGAGGCTCATAATATGGAAGAGAATGCCTTAAATCACATGCCAAGGTATATGAAAAGGTAGATATGCATGTTTTTCCTATGAAGAGGGTTCATAGATTTCCCCAAATTTTTGAAGAGGTCTGTGACCCCAGCACTCCCAATAGCAAAGAACCAGCAGCTTGAAGAATGCTCAGACTTGGTCAGAGGGCCAAGGGTCAGAAGGGAGACAAGGCAGTTAGCAGACATGAGGCAGATGCACAGTGTTCTGGTGTCCCTTGCCCAGGAGAGCTCCACTGCCATGGGCAGACATTTCTGGAAAAGCGATTTTGGCCATTTATCTTCTTGAATCAAAATGAAAGTTTAATTCTTTTGTTACTTAAAAAATATGTAAAAATGTATGCATATTGTATTTTATTTAAATATATAATTTTAAATTTATAAATACTTCTTATTTAAAATTTTGAAAGTGTATTTTTATTGAGATGTAATTGATATATAAGTCATATAATCTAATATAGATTATATTAGTTTCAGGTATCCCACAGAATGATTTGATACTCGTGTGTATTGTAAAATGATCACCTCAGAAACTCTAGTTAACATCCCTTACCATACACAGTTACAAAAATTGTTGTTTCTTGTGATAAGAACTTTTAAGATCATGAAAATGTACATTTTAATCTCCATTTTATATCCAAGGAAACAAATTCAGAAAGTAGTATGATAGTTCTCTGGCCAAGAGACGAGTCATAAGACTCATGGTGCCATGTTTGTTTTTTTGTTTTGTTTTGTTTTGTTTTTACCAGATCTTGATGTCTTTGCTCACTACTTTTTGGTACATATTTCTACCAGACTACTCAATTGGGACTTCAGGGTCCACCATGAAAAAATGTTGGTCCTAAAGAGAACTGCTTAAAGGTGCAGCTCCAAGTGCGTGATCCCCTCCCTTATCTGGCTTTTCCTCTGCACCCATAATCTCTGCCTCCATCCTCTTGACTAGAAATGTAGATCAAGGGATCCCTGGGTGGCACAGCGGTTTAGCGCCTGCCTTTGGCCCAGGGCACGATCCTGGAGACCCGGGATCAAATCCCACGTCGGGCTCCCGGTGCATGGAGCCTGCTTCTCCCTCTGCCTGTGTCTCTGCCTCTCTCTCTCTCTGTGTGTGACTATCATAAATAAATAAAAATTAAAAAAAAAAAAAAAGAAATGTAGATCAACCAGGGGGACTGAGGAGCCAAGAATGGGTGAAGACTGAAGAGGAGGAAGAATATTTTGATTGAATCATGGAGTAGTCTTATTTTGAGAGTGGTTGGTTGAGGCAGGGGTAATGAGATACCTTCTAGAAATGAAATATGAAAGCATTGGTTAGAAAGGAATGCTGTTCCAAAAGTTTCCAACCTCTGAGTCCTTGGGGGATGGAGTCTATTAGATGAGAGTGGGGTGGGGGTCAGTACTTGATCATTGAACTAAAGTGCAGACAACAGGATAGGCTGCTTTTTATGGGAGCGGATTTGGAGATACGAAGGCAGAAAACCAGGAGAAGTTCAGCTGGATGAGATATTCGGGCTGGAGAAGAAACAAGAGTTTCTTGAAGCCAGGAGAGTGAAGTTTCAATGGCAGAAGCCTGTTAACTCTGACGTAATAAAAAAGAAATCCTCAGAGTTATTCGTGTTTAGGCACATCTTCTGTATTCTCTGTTCAGTTCCCCACTTCTCCGAAGCCAGATGCCACTGCAGATATTTCAGGCCATGATTTATCCCTTGAGATGCTTTGATATGTTGGCTTTTGAATAGATTGGTTTTCCTAATTGAACCACAACTCATTTGAAATGAAACACCAGCCACGAGTTTAGAACTGGTTAAAACTTCTCACTACTAGAAGCTACTCCTGTAGCCACTCAGTGTTTTTGAAGATGATTTACATTCAGCACAACCAAGAACCACTTCATTTTTCACTGAAGTCCTCTCTCTCCCTGACACGTCAGCTAGCTCTCAGCTTTGCTGGAGTTGGTGCCCATGTGATTCAGTTTTCCTCTTTCTCGGCCTGTATTTTTCAATCTTTGGCTTGGGAAGTGTGAACGCCAGACATGGGGGTGCCTAAGAATACTTTGATTTTAAGCCTTTTTAACTGTTTCCCTCCATCTTTGAGTTTTTGGGTAAGTGAAAAACCTAAGGAACCGGGCTTTGCCTTTCCCATCCTGTAAGGAATCTAAGATCTCAGAAGAGACGTTTAAACAATGCTTTACAGGCTATCAGTACTATCCCTTCACTGTAGGAGGTAGCAGAGTTGTTTCGTGCTGAATTAGCTGGCAGCCCTCAAGCCAGGCACCTATGTCCCAGACCCACGTGGGCAGCTGCCTTTAGAGACTCATCTCTGAGCTTGCAGACCAGCTAGGCGCCCATCCCTCTGCTCACAAGCAAAGTCATCTTCCCAGATGCAGGGTCCTGCTGCTTTCCTTTATCTTTGGTCTTTTTTATCTCATGATAGACTATTTATCTTGACTCTGTGGCTTGAGTTGAGAAGTAATTCTGGGGCAGGGTGCAAAACAGTGTTGCCATGGAAACACACCCTTGTGATTATATCTGTTGTGCCCCCCACCCCGTGCTCTCTCCACACCTCCAGATCTCTCCCTTTCTTCCAGAACTGCAGGCCCAGGGGGAAATGTTGAACTTTGCAAGGTATTTTTTTCCACTATAAAAGTTATATAAGTTCATTAGAAAAAAAATTATAAAATAGAAGATTGGAAGTTTGTAAATACAGACATATGGAAAGAAAGAAACCAAATTTAGTCGACTCCCCTCTCCTTCCCCACAGAAAGCCCCTCCAATTTGAAGGAAACACGGTTTCCATTGTAGATTTTCATATACATTTCCCAGGATGGAGTTGTTTTGCCACATTTATGATTTTGCCTTCTGACTTTGACCTTAATGTTGGGCGAGTACTTTGACTATGTGGTCTGTTGTGGATACTTTGACCAAGTCTCACAACACAGTGTATTTCTTTAAGGTAATACCAGCCAGCTCAGCTCAGGTCATGATCCCAGTGTCCTACGATTGAGCCCCTAGTCGGGCTCCCACTGCCCATCCCCCTGCTCATGTACACACACACTCTCTCTCTTTCAAATAAATAAAATCTTAAGAAAAATAAAAGACAATACTAGGCTGAATTCTGTTTAGCATGTGGTCCTAGAGGCTCACAGAGCAGGATAGGATAGAAATTGTAGGACAGGAAAGTTTTAGGCAGAAAGATCAGCTTGTGAAAGGACGGGGAGGTGGGGACACCTGGATGGGCATCAGGCCAGCATACAGACTGGCTTAATTTGCATGTGGAGTGCCTATTGATTGACCTGGCTCCACTGAGTGATTGGAAGTACAGGGGATTGGAGGGCACAAGGGTGGGGTGAAGGGTGGGGGTCAATCTGGACACCATCACATTGGTTCTGGCAGAAGCATGGGGCTGTGTGGTTGGTGAAGATGGGAAAGTGGGCCCATAGTTAGGGGAGCAGGAATCAAGAATCTGTTGAGCTTGACAACTGATTAAATTGGGGGTGTGGTCAAAGAAGAACTTTACAGTTTAGGAATCTTCAAAAAAAGTTGTGAGGCCTTTCACAGAAATAGGAAAACTGAGAGGAATGATGGGGGAGGAACACTGGGAGTTAGGCATGGGCATGGTTTGAGGTAACAGGGCGTCAGGGGCAGGCTGTTTGGAACGTGAGTCTGGATGGAGGATGGGCCAGTGGCTCAAAATGAGCTTCATGAACTTAGTCTTAGAGAGACTAATGTAAGCTGTTAGAGTGAATGCATTTCCCAGGAACCAGGGGGTAAAGGAGAGAGCCAAGGATGTTACCACTTTGAGGAAAAGGAACCAGGGGCTATTCTGGGGCAGGCTTAGATGGAGGAACATGAGGCCAGTGTAGGGAGCTCTAGGAAGGTGGGGAAAGATGGTGGTCAAGAGTTGACATCTCTGAGTTTGGGAGTAGGTCATGGGGGCCTGGGGGAATGTGGGGTCAGCGGAGGAGTACCTGTGGAGGAAGGAATGACAGGATGAGGTGAAAACCTTCTAGAAGTTGCTGTTGACAAAAGGGAAGTCACCCTGGGGGTGAGGACAGAGGAGTAACAAGATAGGAAGGCACAGGACCCACTGGATTCTCACAGAGCAATTTGAGGCAGAATGGGAGTCATCTCTCTTTTATAGAAAGGACATGCAGCCCAGAGTGGCTGAGAGACTGGCCTGATGTCTTGGCTCCGTGTGTCTCTGGGTCACGCTGGGCAGATGGGGGAAGGAAAGATGGTGGGATGGAGGCTTGGTTGCTATTGTGTGAAAATCCAAGATGGCAGGGGAGCCAGGGAGCCACATCATACTAGCTGTCATGGGTGCCCCGTGGTGGGTGTTGACTTATAGGCTTCTTCACCCTTCACTTACACGTTCTCTTTCTCTCTCTGTGCCCTCTCCCATTCCTCTCCCTCTGCCCTGCTCCATGGGTCCTGTCAGTGGCACGATGTCCAGAGTCGGGACTGTCATCCAGGATTCTGTGTCCTGGTCTGTTACAGCTTTTGAAGACACTCTGTGGCTTCAGAATTGCTTTTCATTGTGAGTTTTCATCTTCTGGATTCACACACTCAACTTAGACCCAGTCTGTTTCTGAGCCAAGCGAGTCTGTTCCCTATTTGCATTTTTACTGAAGGAAGTGAACAGTATGGACGGTCCTGAAGAGAAGTGTGAAGCTGCTGACTTTGGTTTTAGCAAATTTGAGAAGTCCCGCTGTGGACCTCACACCAGGCACTGAGGAAATTGTGGCTCCAAGAACCTACACGTAGAAAATGCATCCGTCCAGCCTTGGGCAGGTGCCGTGACCGATCTGCACAAACCTCCCAGACGCAGGAACAGCGAGGCTCAGAGGGTGCCTTCCTCAGGACACCTCGTGTAGCCGGTCTGTAATTTGAATCCAGGACCAGCTGCCTCCCAAATCTGGCCTCTTAGGTGTTTGTTAACTTTGGCATATTCTGCTTAGAAGCACTTAAACAAAAAAGACCGCATTTTGCTTCTGGATTGATCCAGAACATGCAGCCGGCAGATAGGGCACAGTGCCTGACATTTCCCTCTGGTCCTTTCCAGGTTACCCCTCTACCTGGCCTCACTCTTCATCAGCCTCGTTTTCCTGTTGGTGAATTTAACCTGTGCAGTGCTGGTGAAGACAGGAAATTGGGAGAGGAAGGCCATTGTCTCCGTGCGTGTGGCCATTAATGACACACTCTTTGTGCTGTGTGCCGTCTCTCTCTCCATCTGCCTCTACAAAATCTCCAAGATGTCCTTAGCCAACATTTACTTGGAGTCAAAGGTAGGTGGAAATGGGGTCGAGATCCCTTCACTACTCTAAAAGTCGTTCCCTGGTGGCCAGCAGAGCTCAGCAAATACCTTCACACCCGACCTCCCACCAATGATTAGCCATTCTGTGGTTGTCCAAACGCAGAGCTGCGGAGCTCGTTGAACTCGGTATGCGAGAGCAGTTCCATTCGAGGTGACTCGGAGTGTACTGGAGTGTGCAGAATTACTGGCAGAGATGCAAATCTCTGGGTTATAGATACACTGTTTAACCAACATTTCAAAGGAGTCTGGGGATTGCTTGTGCTGATGAGATTAGTAGAATCACACACCCAGTGTCCCCTGTGTTCCAGGCACTTTTATGAGATTGGCGTTCTACACGCATAAGCTGACGGAGTCCTCACAGGTCTCTGGGAATAGGTATCAGCCCCACTTTACAGCCCGGGAGACCGAGGCAGGGCTCAGCAGCTTGCCCTGGTTGCCCTACGCGGCCTATTGACGGAGAGCCAAGGTGTGGGACTCAGTGGTCTGGCCCCAGGCTCACCCCGACGCTGACTGACGCGCCCATGGTAGCACACGCTCCAGTGTGGACACTGCCCCTGGGAGTCGGGGACCAGGTCCCTCTTGTGCTGATCGGCCAGAGACAGAGGCAGACGAGATGGAGGGGAAGCGTGGCTTGCTGCCGTGCTGCACGCCCTGGAATCTGCGTTCTCCCTCCTCTCCCCAGGGTTCTGGAGCGGGGCAGGGACGCTCCCTGGGGCTGTGGTGCCCAGGTGCCTCTGCTCAGCCTGATCCCAGTCTCCCTTCCCTGAGGAGCATGGTGACATGTGGAGGCTGGGAGCGGACCTGCCCCTGGCCCTTCACCTCTGGGGACCTCGGGGCTCTCACGGGTGCAGGGATTGGGTGGGTCCTGTGGCTCCGCGGCTTCCAGCCTACTGGGACTGGGTCCTGCGGCAGACCCCCTCGCTGCCTTCTTTGCCGTGCCGCCCACCCGGCTGTCATCAGTCGTCATCTGAAGACACTGAGGCTGCTCTGTCTCCCACAATATCATGTCTTCAGGACTGACCAGTTGGCTAAAATCTGGGCCTCTGACTTCAGGAACACAGAGCCCTCTGCAGGCCTCTGGGATCCGGCTGACCTCTGGCAGGGTCCCCAGAGACTTGGGTACAGCAGGGGCAGTTTTCTCAGCCATCAGTCTGGACAGATGTGAGACTTGATTTTGCCTCGACTTCGTTGTTTATATTGTCTCCCGCGTAAGGGCTAGCCAAGGCTTTTACAAACAGAATTGTGGTTTTTATAGGAAGGGTTACATTCCAGATTGTCAAATTACCATTTAGATCACCCCTGTGGCAAACAAGCTAATAAACTTCTACTAGCAAAATGAAATATCTTAATTAGTGACTTCCGAATGTAAATCTCAAAAATCAGTTTCCATTTTTTGGTTACATTACCAGCATATTTGTAGGTAGGGGCCCTTTAACTGACTGTAAATTGTTAGCTTCATCAATTGGGGAACAGATCACCAAGTTCTGTGTAATTCCAAGTCTGGAGTGATACTGGGATTCCAGGGTTTCCAGCCTAGAATTTTCTGGAATTTGAGGAAGTACCCCTCCCCACCTCCACCCATGCCCCCCAGCCCAGAGCCGCCATCCGTGGGACATCGCTCTCCCAGCCAGCATCCTGTTGAGATGAGTTGTCCCTGGGCCAAGGACTGGGCAGTGGGCTCATAAGTCAGGAGGTCATCTTGGAAATTGAACAGCATAAACCATCTGACTTCCTCATTCTTAGAAACCTAGGCTTTAGGCCAATGACCCATATTTTAAGGCATCTCCAAATCAACTCCCAGATTTTGAAGCATCTATTGAGGAAAATTTGAAATTTTAGAAGGGGCTGTGGGTTTCACGTCTGAGGGTGGAAGGTATTGGCAGAGGCCAGTGGACACTGCAGCGTGTGCCTCTGAGATCGAAGGGTTTACTAGGTCTGAACACAGGCTGGGTTCTGGGAGGAGGCTGGTGTCTTGGGCCTGGAATGGGTGCAACCCTCATGGCTCTGTCTTTTCCAGGGCTCCTCTGTGTGTCAAGTGACTGCCATTGGTGTGACCGTCATCCTGCTTTATACCTCCCGAGCCTGCTACAACCTGTTCATCCTGTCATTTTCTCAGAGCAAGAATGTCCATTCCTTCGATTATGACTGGTACAATGTATCAGATCAGGTCAGTGGGTGCCAGTGAGGTGTCACCTGAATGGCGACTCTTTGCTTCACAGGATCCCATGTGGCAGAGAGGTATAAGCTCCTTGCTTCTGCTGCTAAATTGCTGGATGACCTTGACTGTCACTTACCTGGTTCCAGCTCACGTCTTCTGAGAAAACTAGCCCATATGTGTGCACACATGGACACAGGCACACACACACACACACACATATTTCTAATTTCTGGGGCTTTTAAGTACTTCCATATAAATGTAAGATGGTTTTATTAAAGGGTGAAGTTTGCCAAGGTAAAATAGATCATAGGTTTCAGAAAATACATGAAATTATGACTTTTTTTTAATGGAGCATGTAAACTAACAGCATTTGAGGAAATCTAGACAGAAATGACTGGGAATTTGAAGGTGTTGGTAAAAGTTCATTTTACCTGAGGTCTCCCTATAATATTCTCTCCCATTTAAAATATTCTAGAAATTCATGAATTATAAATTATAAAGCAATGAACAAAGGTAGTGACATGTTCAGTTATATACAAATGCACTTCTAAAATCCCAACAGTGCTCAAACCCTGGACCAGGTTAAGACTCTAGAAGAAGACATTGAATGATGCCAATAAGGTGAAATTCAGAAGAGGAGATTATCAGAATTAGGAAGGATTAAGCCAACCACCACCACCCAGACCGATCCCACACGTACAGGATGGGAAAAATTGGGGCGATATATTGCTTGAAGGTGTGGCTTATTTTGAGAAAATCAAAGATATAAAAATTTATAGAGACTTATTCATAAGACACAAAAGGATTTAATTGTAGTAAAATATTCCTAACACTTACTGTCGTAACTACTTTCGGGTATACAATTCACTGGTGTTCAGTATGTTCCCCTCACTGGGCAACCATCATCACTGTTCCAGAACCTGTTCATCTTCCCAAACTGAAACTCCACACCCATTACACAGTAGAGATTAGGTTTTAACAAAATAAGGATTTCAGGTTTTTTTTTCAGTTGAGGGCTTATAATGATAACAAACTTAAAATAGAACAGTTTTAAAAATTCTATTGTCTTTAGGGGAGTACTTATTTATGAGGATCTAGATCTGTTATTACAACCAAAATAATCTAGGACCAAACCTAACAGATAGTCATGAGGGGCATGTTATTATGTAGAAGGAAGAGTGGTGTACTATTGAGATGAGCTAGAGATGGAACACGATGTGCGGGGCTGGAGAGACAGCTTCCTATGGCAGCCTGGTCAGCTTTGGCTACTGTACTTCAAACACGATGCAGTAGGATTCGGTTTAGGTGATGGGCCCTTCATGGCTTGGATTTGGTGTACTTGGTTGGAAATGCTGGCCTTTGTGGGAGAGTTGCCCAGATGCAACTGTGCACGCTCCTCACTCGCCCACCCTGTCCTGCAGCAGGGGGACAGACTATGCACCGGGCCCATTTGGCCACCTCACTGGTCCAGACACACATCCTGGACCTTTTCCAGACAAGCTAGCCTGTAATAAGCTCTAACGGGTAAAGAACAGGATATGGTTAATATGAAGGGAAGTTTAAAAATTGATGTGTTTATCCCAAAGGTGAGACAGAAGGTCACAGTTAAATGCTGCTCTCAAAAATTTGGAGGGGGTGACCTAGCATCTCCTTATTCGTTTGTCTGAAAGGAAGAAAATCAATTTAAAGTCAAGAGATTTAACTTGGATATAAGGAAGATTTTAGAGGGTAAAGTCATAAAACATCAGAGGTGGGCAGTTTCTGTCTTTGACTGTTTTAAAGATAATTATCTATGCTGTGTGGTTGGGCTAACTCTCAGCCGGAGGTGCTGACCACCAGTACCACCTGGTTTCAACATGCATGTTGTAGGGGAAACGAATTATACTGTATTAGAATTAGTCTCTGTTCATGTTAGGACGGAGCAAATCCAGCTTCTTTCCTCTACCCCCTGTGTGGTGACTCCATGTCCTTCCCTTGCTTCTCAACAGGCGGATCTGAAGAATGAGCTGGGCGATGCTGGCTATGTGGTGTTTGGCGTGGTCCTATTTGTGTGGGAGCTCTTACCTACCACCTTGGTCGTTTACTTCTTCCGAGTTAGGACCTCTGCAAAGGACCTTGTAAGTAAACTGTCTTAAATTTGTGGAAAATATCGCCTGCTTCTAATCATGAAACATGCAAGTGGGTTTTGTTCTTAGATTTCAGTAGCGTGCCCCTTCCATCCTGCTGTGATGTGTTCCCTGGTCTGTTTGAGATGGTCTTTTCCCTTAATTCTTTTTGAGGGAAATGTGTTTTTCAGCTCTTACAGAAGAAATGAAATTTGCATCTCAAGGCTTGGAGATAGTGATTAATTATTCTTCCTAATGCACCAGCAGTCTTACCAGTATCTGAGGTTTGGCTTGAGGTGAACTAAATATATGAGCTTTTATTTTAGCAAAGGGAAATAGAAAACGGTGCTTGAGTTGTTCACCCCCATGTGATGCTGGACGGTGAGTTGGGAACTTGGTGATGTGGAAATGAAAACATCGTTGAGGGATGCTACTCCTGCTCCCCTGGGTCAGTCCTGTTTCTGCTCAGCCAGATTTGTATAAATGTCTTTATAAGAACAGGACAGAAAATGTACAACTTGTGAGTATGAGGAAACTCCTGGGAGCTTTTGTTCCCTAAATTATTCCAGCTACACTAACAAGTGGTAGAATTTTGAGTCACTGATCTAGGAAACCCAAGCAAAAGGTAATGTAGTGAATGGTTTTTGGCCAGTGTGAGCCGAGTGTGGGTGGGTGGTAAAGAAAGCACAGATACAATAACTAACCTGTTGTATTTTATCCTGTTTCTTTTTCTTTTCTTAAAAAAAAAAAAGATTTATTTATTTGAGAGAGAGAATGCTAGCAGCAGGGAGAGGCAGAGGGTGAGAGAATCTCAGACAGATTCCTCACTGAGTGTGGAGCTGAACTCGGGGCTCGAACTCATGACCCTGAGATCATGACCTGAGCCGAAAGCAAGAGTTGGCCACTTAACCAACTGAGCCACCCAGGTGCCCCTACCTTGTTTGTTTGTTTGTTTGTTTTTTCTTAATCACTTCTGGATAGTCACTGATGAGCCAGAAACGGGGGGTGGGGGGGGAAACAAAAAACAAAAACCCGAGCCTGGCCTGGGGCAGGTGGAGCAGCACAGCCTGACTGGAGCCCTTGCAGAGAAGGTGGTGGGCAGCGTTTTCTAGACCTCGAGATCTGTTTCCTCCCCTTCCATTATTTTTAGCTGCAGGACCGTGGGACTGCATTTCATCTGACCTTTGCTTACTTTGGGAACAGCTGGTGGCGTCTGTAAAGTCAGATCCTAAACACTTCTGGTGTGCTGGCTAAGAAACGGGACAGGTAGGCAGTGGATTCTAGGCCATGAGTCCAGTTGCCTGGTTTTCCTTCCTTCCCTGGAGTTTTCTGGGTACCTTGCTTGACTGTGGTATAGTGAGCCCTGGGCTCTAGGGGGCTTTCCCCAGGCTCCACTGTACCTTTTCATCAGCTTGAGTTTCAGGGCCTTTGGACCCAAGGCAGTCTGAGGGAGAGAGATTTCCGAATTTAACCAGAGAAAGGCTAATGCAATAGTGTAGAAAGTACTATTTTACTAAATGAGTACAGAATAATGTCTAATGTGTACTCTTGGATCTCATTATCTGGGGAAACATGGCATCCCTGACACACTCTGTGCAGATGGATTACTCGGTTATTGTGCTTGAATACATCTGTGGTGTAGAGTATGATCTAGAGCCGTGGTTCTTAACCTTTTTGGTCTCAGGACGCTTTACATTGGTTAATTTTTTTTTTTACTGAGCTGTAATTGACTTATTAGTGTCAGGTGTATAACATAGTGATTTGATATCTGTGTATACTGCAAAATGATCCTAATAAGTCCAGCTGACATCCATCACTACACAGTTACCATATTTTTTTTTCTCATGATGAGAACTTTCCACTCTCCTAACTACTCTCAAATATGCAGTACACTGTTATTAACCATAGTCACCATGCCACCATGCTGTCCATGACATCCTCAGGACTTACTCATTTTATAACTGGAAACTTGGACCTTTTGACCCCTTCCACCCATTTTGCCCACCCCCCCATCCTCCACCTCAGGCAACCACGCATCTCCTCTGTATCCATGTGGGAGGCTTTCCTGTTTGCTTTTAGATTCCACACAAGTTGAGTCTAGCTATTCTGATAGGTGTGAGGTGGTAGCTCATTATAGTTTTGATTTGCATTTCCCTGATGATGAGTGATGATGAGCATCTTTTCAGGTACCTGTTGGCCATCTGTAGGTCTTTGGGAAAATGTCTTTCAAGTCCTTTGCCTATTTTTTTAGTTGGATTTTTTTTTGCTGTTGAATTATATATTCATATGTTTTGGATATTGACCCTTCATCAGTTGTATGATTTCTAACATCTCCTATTTAGTTGGTTGCCTTTTCGTTTTGTTTATGGTTTCCTTTGCTGTATGGAAGCTTTTTCATTTGATGTAGTTCCGCTTATTTTTGTTTTTGTTGCCTTTATTTTTGGTGTTCAATCCAAATTATCATCGCCAGGACTGACATCAGGGGGCTTCCCACCTGTGTTTGCTCTCAGGAGTTTTATGGTTTCAGTTCTTACATTCAAGTATTTAACCCATTTGTAGTTAATTTTTGTGTGTGGTCCAATTTCATTCTTTTCTATGTGGCTGTCCAGTTTTCTCAACACCATTTATTGAAAAGACTGTTCTTTCCCCCATTATGTATTTGTGGCTGCTTTGTCATAAAGTACGTGACCATGTAAGTGTGAGTTTCTTTCTGGGCTCTGTTCTGCTCTGTTGATCTGCGTGTCTTTTTTTTATGCCAATAACATACTATTTGGATTACTGTAGCTTTGTAATAGAGCTTGAAATCAGGGAGCATGATGCCTTCAGCTTTGTTCTTCTTTATCAAGATTGTTTTGGCTCTTTGGGGCTACACTGATAAATTATTGAGGACCCCCAAAAGCTCTTGTTTGGAGGGGGCTGTGTGTGTGACATTTTAAAAAAACATTAATTCACTATATCTAATAAACCCATTACATGTTACCATAAAAGTTTTTTTCTGAAAAAGAGTATTTTCCAAAACAAAATGGAAGAATAGCACTGTTTTAAAACTCTTTGATTTTTTTAATGTCTGGTTTAACAGAAGACAGCTGGATTCTATCTGCTTCTGCATTCAATCTGTTATGATACATTGTTTTGGTTGAGCATGTAAAGAAAATCCACCTTACAGAGATATGTAGTTGTAGTAAAGTGGAGTAATTTAATAGCTTTTAACATAATTGTGGATATTTTTCTTTGATATGCATCAAAAGTGAACAAATTGTGGTTTCTTAAAAGTTAGCTACACTGGAATCTAAAACCATACCAATAAACTTTACAGATTGTGTTATACACTAACATCCATTAATCTTGGACTTTGGATCTTTTACCCATGCATGGTTTTTTTATATCATGATTTGGTCACTTGGAAAGATATTGGTTTACTGAGTTATACAGATCTTCTAGATATTAAAACTGACTCATTAAATATCACCACTGATCATTTCAGGAAAATATTTTAAGTATTGGGATGCCATCAAGCTCATGGTGGGGAACACAAGTTTGCTTAAAAGCTCAAATTTGATTACTGATAAATACCATCCACTTGTTTTTTTTTTTCTTTTTTTTTTTTAATTATCAGCCCACTTCATTTACTTTCAAAACAATGTCTGCCAAACACTCATGTCTGAAAAAGCATGGTTTGTCTGAGTTGTGAAGTTGCATGAAAAAAGGTAGCTACTCAAGTAGCTGTACAGGGTCCTTTCTTGGAAAGAGCTATCTTGCAGCTCACGTGCCAGAAGCATACTTTCCATTTTGTCATATATTAAAAAGATAGGCTCAAGGATTGAGATTTAATAAAACTAATAACATACTGCTTCATAAAATTTTTAAAAAGATATATTTTTGAGAGAGAGAGCACAAGTAGGTGGCGAGCTAGAGTAGAGGGAGAAAGAGAATCTCAAGCAGACTCTGCACTGAGCATGATGCCCAACCCAGGGCTTGATCTCATGACCCTGAGATCAGGACCTGAGCCAAAACCAAGAATCAGATGCTTAACTGACTGCACCACCCAGGTGCCCCTGTCAAAGACCATCTTACATGAAACTGTTTTTAACTGATCGTGCAGTGGTGGTGAATACAGTGGCTGCTAGGAGGTTGTTGTCACTGCTTTGATACAGACCAGATCAGTGGTGTTTTTTCAGTAGCGTTTTTACCAAGGCTTTTGCACCATGAGTGCCACCATCGAGACCATGGAAAAGGCAAATAACATCTTAAAACACTAATTATGAGAATAATTGTGACCTTTCAGATTCCTGAAAAGATCTCAGGGGCCACACTGATGATAGGCACTCATCTACAGTAGCATAGTAGTGAATTAAAATGATTCTTTATGCCCTGAACAATATTTTCTCCTAATATACTATGAGGAAGTGACTTCAGTATGAAGGACGTATAATACTAAATAGAAAAACATTTTTTTCTACTCATGAAGGAGCTCTCGTTAGCAGGTAATGTGGGTGTCAGGTTTGGCTTGGTGAAGCACTAGTGTTCGTAAATTAGCCATAGGCAAGACTAGCAGATTTAATGCCATCTGTATGTTCAGAATTCGGTAAAATTAGCCAAGTGTTGTATAGTGCTTATGTGAGGTAGGCACTGCTTTAAACTGCTTTAACTGTTATATTTAAACACTTTAAATATATTCTGTTCTTTAATCTTTACACTCAGCCTCTGAGATAGAAACTATGATCACACTTAGATGAGGAGTTCTTTACCATTTGTGTCCGTAATTCAGTCTGTAGAAATAAGTCTCTACACTAGGCAGCACTAAAGCCCAGATGTAACTGCATTCTAACGTGACTCTCTGCCATCCACACAGGAGTCCCAAGGGTCCTGAGTGAGTGTCAGTACTGATTCCGAGGCCATGTTCTAGATCCAGATCAGAACCTCCAGGGTAGGTTCCGGGAAGCCACATTTAAAATAAGAAGCACCTCAGGTGATTTGAATGAATGTACTGCGAATGCTGTTGGGAGAGTCAGCTACCTCTCCTGCTTCTGAAAGTAGTAGTTGGGGTGTGCACTTTTCACAAGGTGGCACTGGTCCTTTTACAGAGCACTGGGGTTGTTCCTCTGCTGCCAAGACCCAGGCCAGCGGGGACTGCCCCACAAAGTGTGTGGGGGGATGTGTGGTGCCTGGAGGTTATGCATGCCAGCCCTGTTCCACATGTGACACACAGCCTTTAGGAGACTGGGGCTGGCCAGAGTCCCTCTGCAATGTGCAGGCAGGGCATGCAGTTTAACGTGGTGCGAGCATCCTCCACACAGGGTGGCTCACTGCTGCTACCAGGACTGAGGCCCTGCAAAACACACAGTAGGGACACTGGTTGGGTTTGCAAAGGCTTTCTGGGGAGGTGCCCTGCAGCACCAGGACTGAGAGAGGCCTGGCCACAGGGGGCAGGGGGCGATGTAAGCAAGTTATGTAATGACTTGCTGGCACCGTCCTGGTCATGCTGGGGGGCCGGATGGGGAAGTGGTGCCTGCCAGCTCCTTTGTTCCTGGAGGAGTCTTCCAGTGCAGTTTGTCCCTCTGGTATAGGCTCTGAGATTAGTAAATCACTCTCCCTTTCATATGGTCCAGGCACCTTTCACACTGTCCTTCCAGGCTGCATCTCTGCAGGCTGTTCGTTGGGCTCTCTCTTTAAGAGACACAGTTTCCTCTCCCTCCAGCCTCTCCTGGAACTGAGCCTGCTGATTTTTAAAGTTCCAGGCTTTAAGTTCCAGCTGGTTGTAAGACCTCAGGAAATTTGGCCCCTCTGGTTTTTAGAGCCACGTGTTTTGGTGATTCATTCCCTGCAGGCTCCCAGGTGTGAGGATCTGTGTATCTCCCCTCTCTGTATCCATAGGTCCTTCCCAGCTGCAGATGGCCACAGCAATTTAGCTCCCAACCACATCTCCCTCTTCCTACCCTCACTGATGTGTCCTCTTCTCTACATTTAGTTGTGGAGTTTGTTCCACCAGTCTTTGGGAAGTTTTCTGGCTTATATACACTGGTGTGTTATCCAGTTGTATCAGTCTGATGAGGTGAGCTTTGGGTCCTCCTCCTCTGCCATCTTCCTGGAAGTCAAGGTTGTACTTTAAAAAGCAATCTGCCAGACTGTTGGAATTTTCACAGTGGGTATGCCATCCTACACTGGCTAGTCCTAGTAGAGCAGGAGGGTTCTATCTGGCTCCTCCACATCTTCCCCAGCACTTGTTATTGATGTTTGACCCTAGAGATCCTGGATGAGTGTGAAATGGTACCTCAGTGTGCCTTTTGCCCCAATCACTAATGATGTCCAGCATCTTTTCATGTGCTTATTGGTGACTTGTATCTGTACCTTGGATAAATGTGTGTCTAGATATTTTGCCTATTTTTTAATTGAGTCATTTTTTAAAGAATTCTTTATATGTTTTAGATCTGAGTCCCCTGTCAGATAAGTGATTTTTGCAAATATTTTCTCTCATATTTTGGCTGCTTTTTCACTTTCTTGATGGTATCTTTCAAAGTTTTTAATTTTGATGAATTTTATGTTTTCTTTTGTTGCTCATGCTTTTGGCATCATATTTGAGAATGCTTTGTAAATTCTGGGTCACAATCTGTCCCTATATTGTTCTTCTACAAATTTCACAGATTTTACTCTTACATTTAGGTCTCTGATACATTTTGAGTAACTTTTTGTAGGTGTGTGAGGTTAGGATCCAACTTTATTCTTTTGTATAGACATTCTTGAACTGCTACGGATAATAAATTTTAAGGCATCCCACCTCATCTAGGTTTTGTTTCCTATATTTGGCTAGGTTAGTCTTAGAAAAGGAGGAATTTACATATACATGCCCACCATATAGCAAGCAACCTTGTTTCATACTCTTGTTTAACTTTAAAATAGACAACTAATGATATGTACAAGATGTCAAACAAATTCTGGATTTTATGCCAGCTTTGGTTTGCCATATAATAAAGTTCTGATCTTCTGCTTCCTTGAAACCAGTTATTTGAAATGTTTTGAAAGGTGAACTCAGCTTGGGGACAGAAACAGGAGGAAATGATTATAGAAGCAGGATATGGAAACGATACAGATCCTCTCAAAATTATTTCATCATTATGATCATTTCATTATTTTAATTTGTAAATATCCACATTATTATATAGTTTTATATCTAATTTGGGACTATCTAATTTGGTTCATTTGGGCATTGCCTAGTGTTTCAGTAAGGGATTAAAACAATGATCATTCACTGCTGCAAGCAGAACTCTGAAAGGAGATTTTGTCCACACTGAGAAAAGAAAAAGTTAACACTTCTTAAAAATAAAAGCAACTAAAATGAACATTGTAGCTGAACAGGTACATCCTCCATTCAGATGAATACAGCATCATCTTTATCTTTGTCTAGAGGAAAGCATAGTGTATCTCAAAGTATACTGAACAATTGTCTTTCTAGACCAACCCTGGAATTGTCCCCAGCCATGGATTCAGCCCCAGATCTTATTTCTTTGACAACCCACGAAGATATGATAGTGACGATGACCTTGCCTGGAACATTGCCCCTCAGGGACTTCAGGGAAGGTAAGACCCTAGTTCATTGTAGAGAGGCATGGTTAGTAGGCTGAGGATTACGCCAGTGAAATCAATTCGATCGAAGAGAAGATGCCTACATGACAACCCTGGAGTCAGAGGGAGTGTGAGGCCAATTGGAAACAGAGAAACCCCCGAGTATGAGACTCCGCAACCAGAGCAGAGACCAGAATTAAGCATCCTTACCTCTGTGGCAGACAGCAGGGGTGGTAGCCACTGGGGTTCCCTTCCCCTTTTTCAGCCTGTAATGCTTTAGCCACCCTCCATGGCGCATCCTCTCTTTCTGCCTGTGAGTCTGGGGCTTCAAGGGACAGCAGGGATGAGAGAAGCAAAAGGACTGTCCTAGTGCTTCCTGAGTCTCTGCCCTGGGCTTGTGGTCTCACTCAGGTGTGAGACCTTGTGAAAGGGAGGCTTCAAGTTGTGTTTCTTGGAAGCTTATTTTTTGCAATCTTTTGTACCCTGAAAGGAGACCATTAACATTTTAGTATAAACTATCCTCCACCCCCAGGATTGAGTGATAGAAGATAGGGTGGCTTTTCTACTTTTTTATTATGAACAGTAAATGTCCTTGGAAAACTTTAAAAGAGCTCCGAAGAGAGCCCTTGTTGTAGGGACAGGAGGACCGAGGAGAAGCTGGGACGATATATTGCTTTCTCAGTGGACTAGAGAGCAGAGAACCAGATAGAACAAAAGATGGTGCTTGGGGAGAAGAAAATGCAGCAGTCCATGGAACAAGCCAGCAGATGTGAAAAGCTAGAAATCTGGAAGCGATCCAGTGGGACTTAGGTCAAAAGTTGTTCTAGCCCTCATCCCTAAAACTGCTTTTATCTAGTTACCCCACTGAGCTGCCCTTTCAGCAAGCATGTCCCTCCATAGCCTGCAGAAGCAGCCATAGCCCCTCAGTGGCCAAAGGCAACATAGAGCTGGGAGTCCTCACTCCATGTGGAAGACCACCCCTTTTCTACTACAGAGAGGAAGAGAATAATCAGATGGACCCTGCTGAGTGCTTACTGTACCTTAAGACACTGTTCTAAGTACATTATAGGTACAAACTCACAGAAGCCCAACAAGGCAGTTACTGATTATTGCTGGTATTCTACAGATGATAAAGTTGGTGCACAGAAGTTATTTGTGCAGAGGTATCAGGTACAATGTGTTGGCAAAATATTTTGTTACACATAGTGATTGGTTTATGGTTCTAGTGCTTCTGGGCTCTATGGAGTTTACTTGGGTTTTGTTTTTGGAGGGAGCAAGCATGGGGCAGAGAGAGAGGGAGAGAGAAAATCTCAAGCAGGCTCCACACCCAGCACAGAGCCCAACGCAGGGCCTGATCTCACAACCCTGAGATCATGACCTAAGCCGAAATAAAAAATCAGATGCTTAATGGACTGAGCCGCCCCGGTGCCCCAAGTTCAGTAGAATTTTGTGGGTGAACTTGTAGCCACTGCATGGGATTCAGGAAGCTACTTTAAAGACTGATTTTGTCTATGGTTCCTACAGAATCCCAGTTCTTCTGTCCATCTGGAATAGACATGTCATCAACAGGAAGTATAATTGTTTTAAGTCACCAAAACATCTTTTCTTTCTTCTTTTTAAGCTTTGCCCCAGACTACTATGATTGGGGACAGCAAACGAACAGCTTCCTGGCACAAGTGGGAACTCTCCCACCAGACTCAGCTTTGGATCCTGACAAACCAAGCCACGGGTAGCATCGGGAAGCAGTTTTATGGAAGATTCCTCAAGTGAAGAGCTTCAAAGAGACTAACTTAATGACAGCTGAATTTTTAAGGCACTTTTCCTTAAGAAATAGGACTTGATGTTTATTTGTTACAGGTTTCTAATGGCTCCATAGGACTAAGCAATAATTCAGATTGATAAAACCTTATTTTAGTACTAAAAAAGTGAGCCTGGCTGCCTATTTCGGTGGGTATAATTTAAACTTTAAAAAAATTCTGTACTTTTATAAAGATATATTTTATATAACTTAACGCTAGAATATATACTAGCATTTTTTTGAGAATGTTATTGCAATATGTTTGTAGTTTGCACAGACTTTTATGCATAATTCACTTTAAAAGCATACAGTACACGGTCTGATGGTTGTTTAAGGCTTTTGGGCTAAAGTATTCTCCAGATCCTTACCTCTTCAGGTCGTACAGATACTGAGTTTCATGCCTGGTAGACTCTAAACATAGTTGACGTCTAGAAAGTCAGTTACAGCTCCAGTGTTAAAAGCTACAACTCTGTTAAAAGCAGAGTATCAACAGACTACATACAAGGTCATTGATTCCTTCCTTCGAGTTAGGTCCAGTTGTTCCCTCAAAGAATCTCCAGAATTTTGCCAAAACAGTGGTACTTCTTTCAGCAGGGCACTAACGTATACACTTCAGTGATAAGTGGATACGTTAAAAACATGGATAAAATTGACACCACTAAACCACCTCCACTATCTTCAGAAACTTTGCAGTTTTCAACCCAGTGAACTCCCATATCCGTTACCTCCGTATTTTTGCAAGACTGCACCTTTCCCAATCACTGACATTCAGTACATTCAAGGAACAAAGGAGAGGTTGTCAAAAGGGGATAAATAGTAAATGCCCTTGATCCAGAAGACTGTATGGCATCCAAATAGTTTTCCTGTAATTTCCCACCCTATTTAAAATAATGTCCTGTATTTTTAAATTGCTCTGAAAAGCAGGCTATTAGAAGCAGTGGCTAAAAAATGAGAGTAGCATCTCAGTGTCCTATAGCAGGATTCCTGGGGCTCAGCTGTGTAAGAGGGCATGTTGCAGACAATGGCTTGTAAATCGTCTTCTGCTGAAATGAAATACTAGTTCTCCAGCCACGGGTATGATTCTAAAACCTCCATGATGTATACAGGTAAAACTGCCTGCAGTAGGAAACTGTGGTGCAAGGCTCCATTGGGGAGGTTAAATGCTCTTATTTTCCTTAAAGCAGAGGGAAGGCTCTAGAGGATTTACTGTCACCTGAGAAACGGTATCCACTCTGCCTAGGAAATGTCATCTCTCGAGACAGGATGAGGAGGAGCAGATGAAGAAAAAGTAGGGTTAATAAGTTCTGCCTTCATGGTGAAAGCCATTTCAAATGTCTCTTATTTCCTATTTTGGTCTTCAGAAAGGATTTATCTCTGGGCGTTGATTTCACAGAGATCAAGTCTACTTCTCTTGATGGTAATTAAAATTGCCATCTCAAGGTGATTGAGGAGATTGAGATTGTGATTGGATTTCTCATTTGTATAGAGCGCCTTTATCCTGCATAATCCCACATAATAGTGTTCTTGCCTTTCAGCATTTGGAAGAATTGCGGTCACATATTATTGAAAATAGTTACTGTCAGGGAAAATTCTAGACTGAAGCAAAATTTGCACTGATTATTTGGGTTGCCTTAAAATATTATAAGTTGCTATTATTCTAAATAGCTTTAGGAACATCCTACTTGTCATACTTTGTTACTAATACTTAGGAGAATTTAAAGGGAGTCCCAGCATATGCTTAAAACTTTAAATCGTGCTTTCAGAAAGTACTTTAATTAGGATATCCAAGGGCAGGTATATTTTTAAAAATACAGTAATTTAAAAAAATCACTAAAATCATCCAAGTATTATACTCATGCTGTATCAACACATTATTATTCTGTTATTACTGGTAGGAAAATGGAAATACCCAGCATTAAGCGATAAAAGCCATAATCTATTTTTATAATAAAGCTGCTACTATTTGAACTATTTTTTTATTGGAAAGAATAAAAATGTTATAAGAGCCTATTTTTCCCTTCCCTTTTTTAAAAAAGTAATGCTAAAGCACAAATATTATAAACACATCCATAATATAAATAGGATTGTAGCAAACGATCTTTATCTCATAGTAAATGACCATGTATACCCTGTGAAACATTATAGATATGATAGGTACGCAAAGGGAAATTAAGATTTCTTTAGGTTCCTAATTATATTGTGCTGTGAATGAGGTCACTACCAAAGCTCCTCCTCAGGTGGAATAGTAAAGGCTCAGAGAAGGCAAAGAATGGGGATGGGATTACCCATTGTCAAATACAGAGATGCCCTTCTGTTTTAAGGCAACATGATGAAATTAAAACCCTGGTCATTTGAAAGTTAAAAATGTAGGGGGCAAAGGCAATGTCACTAAAAATTTTGTATGAAGTCTAATTCAACACTAAAGGCTGCACATGGCTGTTTCTGTGTACCTACTGGAAATCTGCAGGTTATTGTCTAAAAATGCCAACTGGTTTGTGTAGATATTTTTCACTGGCTCTTTTTTCTTTCTCCAATTAACTCACTTGGTTGAGCCAATATTACAACATCCAGAGTATGTCACACATGGAGCTGTGGACTGTAAGTAGTTTTTTGACTCTTACAATATGCACATCAGTCACATTGAGTTATGCCGATTTTTTTCTCGGATGTACCAGGCATGTTGTTAAAACTCTGCTGGTTACCATGTCTAGCTATGTAGATCAAGCACACTTGCTGGTGTATCCCCAAATATCCTCTTTTACCAAAATCCAACAGAACTGCTCTTTGTTGGCCTTGAACACTTAATTCCTATCAGGAGGAAAGTAATAGGCATTAGTAAATCCCAGAGCATGAAAAGTACTTAAGAGAAAAAGGTTTATATATTTACATAGATGTTACTAGACTATTTTAATTTTTCTAAAATTATCTTTTTATTTCTTTAACAAAGGTACACTTAGAATTAAATGGGCCTAAATATTTGAAGTTTTTAAAAAGATTTCCAACTAAAGAAACTTTGTTTTAAAAAAAAATCTTGTTTTCAGAGTGCTAGATAATAAAATCTAGACAGGTGTAGGTCTAATCAAAGACATCTTTCCCATTTTTGGCCCCAGGGGAGAATTTTATTTAAAAAAAAAAAAATTCTAACTGCGCATAACCATTTAAGACTTTTCATGGTCCAGAGGAGCTGCTGGAAAGGAGCAGGCTAAAAAGTAGAATTCTCATCAAAAACTATAAAGTGGTCAAAGTGAGGGAACACTTAAAAAGGAATGGAGGGAATGGAATTCACTGTCTACTGCATGCCGGTTACATGCTAGACAATGAACGACTGGGTGTTTGCTGGTCTGAGTGTCCAGTCTGTAAACCGTTCCATTAACCCTACTCAAGGCCCTTAGTAGGGATATGTGGAAAACCTCTTGCACCAATGGGCCCAAATACCTGGAAGCATGTGAAAGATGTCCCTGTGCCTCCAACCTAGCTATCGGTGCAAATTCCCTGTACCTGTCATGCAGCAATCTGGGCCTGGGAATCGAAGGTGGGTTCTGTCAGTGTGGAGTTCTTTCTGCCCAGGTCAGCAGGTAGGGGGTTAGAGTCCTCAGATCCAAATCCAGGGACTCAGCAGCTCCTAATGGTTTCTGCCTGGTTCCTCTAAAGATGGATTTCTTTCATCTATTCCCTGACCTGGAACTGAAACCGATTCTATTTTCCCAGAAACTGGTTATACCTTGCCAAGATTAATTCCACTGTAGCCTCCAAAAGGGACTTCCCTTTTGCGGTGTGGTTGCCCAACTGCTCAGAATAGTAGACTATCTCCAGAACCTATTTTCTGCCTCTGAACTTCAGTGTGAGCAGAACAGATCAGATGCCTCCTCCCTCTAGCTGGATTTATGACCTCATTCTCTCTAGCCTGTACGAGCCCTAAATCCCCCACTTTCTCTGAACCTGTTTTCCTCAGGTCCCTTTGCAGTCCCAAGTCCTGGAGCTCCTTGAAGGCATGGAGATATAAAAAGGCTTACCAGGGCCATTCAATTTGTGTGGCTGAGAATCCTTGGCTGTCCCCTTACTGAATTCACTAGCCCAGAGCCTAGGTTTGCAGACTTAAAAACCTATCTGAGGGAAGAACACCCATTTGGATGTATATTGTTAAGGAAATCTGTATGGAAAGTGAGATAATGTATCAGACTGCTGCCTGAAGGACACAGACTCTGACCCAGGGGTATTAGCTGGATGATTTTATTTTGTGATAACTTGATGGCACTGTCAAGCAAACACTAAAATTCATTCACATTGAGGGCATCCTCTACACCAGACAGGTTTCTATGTTAGCTATTCCTCTTCAATGAACGTATTCTTTCTCTGGGTGAATTCTCAGTATAAACCAGATATAGCCTAGTTAGGTTACAGAATTCATAAGTTACATGATGGCAGGAACAGCTGTGTTTTGTTCACTGCTATGTTCCCAGCACAAACAATTATAAATGGTCAAATCCTGTTCTTGTGGTAGATGGTCTTTCTTTTTCAAAGGTAACTTCTTTCACTTGCATTTTTATCCACGGTATATGGATTTGACCAGTATAAGGGCCTATCCCTGTTTTCTCACATATCTAACTTTTGGGTAAGGGAATTAATTCATAATGTAATTTTAAAAAGGAAATAAGGATTTTACATAAAGACAACCTCCAGGAATGATTTGAGACAGATTGGGTTCTCACTGACATGAAATTCTGTCTCCTTCTATGCAGGCACTACATGCCCGCTCTTTGCCCTCACCTGTTTGGGCACTGGCAGATAGAATACTGAAATAATGAACAGTAAAAAGTAGATCTTTATCAGCTTAAGTATAAAATGAAAAGAATAGGGACGCATGAAAGTGATTAAAAGTGCAACTCTTGAGAAAACACTGAATTGGGCAGAGTTCCAGCATAGTCCAAATGTTAGTGAATTTTTTTTTCTAAAGCTCATATGAAATAAGTAAGCACAGCTAAAGAAAACTTTTTTAAAAGGGTGGCGGTTGGGGAAAAGAGGGAGCCAACACACCAGATATTTAAACACAGACCCTGAGTAATTAATAGTTGTGGTCCTGGTGTCTGAGTAAACAGACCAATAAAACAGAAAGAGAACCCAGATATGGAGCTAATTCTGTGTGCGATGCGAGATATGATAAATGAAGCATCTCAGACTAGGGAGGACATGATACAACTGTTCAGTCAATGGTATTGGAATAACTGGATGATCACCTAGGAAGAAATGAGGCTGGATCTGTAACTTACATCCTACACTGGGACACACTCCAAAGGGATCAAAACTTAGATCTAAAAAACCTCCAAAAGAAACGATAGGTGAATTACTGCTGTGTAAGGAAGGTGTTTAAACTATGACTCAAGCCCAGAAACCACTGAGAAACAGAAATTAAAAAAAAAAAAAATCACAAGGCAAAAACCACCATAAGCCAAGTCAAAAGACAGACACCAACTTAAAAAGAAATTTAGAGCCCACCAAAAAGGAATAATATGTAACCAGGTACTCCTATAAACAAGGTCAATAATGCAGTAGAAAAGTGGGCAACAGGTATGAATGTGAGGAACACAAGTGGATCTTAAACATGTTAAAAGGAGTCAACCTCAGTTGAAGTAAGAAAAATAGAAACTAAAACACATTGATCTGTAATTTTGTACCTATCAGAATGGCAAACATCATACCCACATCCACGCAGGTAAGGTTGTGGGTGAGCATGCAGTGTCTTAAGTTGCAGGTGGATATGTGAACTGGGTAACTGCCTTGATGGAGGGAAATACTCTATTTTTCAAAATTATAAATGTACACGGTCTGTAACCCCAAAATTCCATTTAGGGGAATTTACTCTACAAGAACATATTTATGTATGTGGGAAATGACAGGATATACACAAGGTTTGGAAACCATCCAAATGCCCATTAGTAGGGGATTGGTTAAACAATTATATGAATATATAATGGGATACCAAGCAGTTCTTGAAAAAAAAAAAAAACTTTAACGAGTAAGCTATCTAGGGATGTGGGAAGAGTACCAACAAAAAGAAAGTGAATAAAAGTACATGGTATGTATAAGATGCCACTCTTTGGGGAAAAAAATGAGAGGAACAGTTAAGACTTTACATTTGTATTTGTTTGTATATGCCTAAAATATGTATGAATGGAAACAGAAGAAGCCCCAAACCAGAGGTTATGGGGGTGAGGGGTGGGACGTACAGTATGGGCAGTTGGGCTGAGGACCAGAAGAAGACATTCCACTGTGTAGTCTTCCATGTTTTTTTTTGGTTTTTTGAACCATGTGAATGTATTAGTATTTGAAAAATAAAGATTTTAAAAGCCTTATGACTCAGTACGTCAGAAGATGCTAAAAGTCCCCAGTTTTTATTTTATATTATTTTATTTTATTTATGAGAGACAGAGAGAGAGAGAGAGAGAGAGAGAGAGAGAGAGAGAGGCAGAGACCTAGGCAGAGGGAGAAGCAGGATCCATGCAGGGAGCCCAATGTGGGACTCAATCCCGGGACTCTGGGATCACACCGAGCTGAAGGTAGACGCTTAACCATTGAGCCACCCAGGCGTCCCAAAGTCCCCAGTTTTTAGCTGAATAGTAATAAGACTACTGAGGTAATTACACATTCTAAGCAAAGGACCTGGAGTCAGGCTTTCTGGTTTTTTTTTTTTTTAAGATTTTATTTATTCATGAGAGAGAGAGAGAGAGAGAGAGAGAGAGAGGCAGAGACACAGGCAGAGAGAGAAGCAGGCTCCATGCAGGGAGCCCAATGTGGGACTGGATCCCAGGACCCCAGGATCACACCCCGGGCTGAAGGCAGGCGCTAGTCCACTGAGCCACCCGGGCTGCCCAGACTTTCTGGTTTTAAGCTCTTGTCCCACAATCTAGAATCTGTGACTATGGACGACTTAGCCAGTTTTATCTTCAGTTTTCTCATTTATAAAAAGAGTTGGCAATTGTATCTACCCATGAGTGCTGCTGTGAAGAGTAAGGAACACATGGAGAGCCCTTAATACGGTGGTTGCTGATGCTTGCCATTGTAAGAAACAAGCTCACACTCCTTATGTATTTCTTCCATTCTCTGCAAATTATAAGTCAACTCCTCAGCTCATAAAGGGAAATAGTTCAAAGGTGGGGGGAGGGACACAAGAAAGAAAGATGGCAGAGACATTTAGTTTAATTCACATTCGCTACAGTCTGACGGGCACAACAAATTATTTGGAATTGGTGTTCAAAATCAAATTAGACTAGAATACATGTCCGCCTGTGTGTGCGTCTGTGTGTCCCACCCGATACCGTCCGTCATACCACGTAAGCAGTCTGCGTGCTTCGGTGAATGGCTGTGGTTTCTGCAGGCACCGCAGTCTGCGAACTGCTGAGATGTTTACTGTAAACTGTCCCCGAACTTCAGCTGAAGTCAATGCTGTCCCTTAGTCACAGTGGCTCCCAGGTAAAGCTGGAGAATATGGCAGGGTCCCCCAAATGACAGACACCGTGGGTGTTGAGTAAACTCACGATGTCACCACATCACCATGTCTGACTTAAAGTTCACAACTGGGAAAACTCACTATTCTGTCTAGTCCTCTTTATAATCTAAGAATTGACACAGGAGAAACATTCAAATTTTACCAATTTTAATATATAGTATTTCTAACTTACATAGATGCCACTTAAGGAAAAAATAAACTCATGCCATTGAAGGAAGGAATTCTTTTCCTTTTCTTCATTTTCATTACTTTGTCAGCTGGTACAATCATTTCTGTCAGTTATATTATCAAGTGCTGGACTTTTAAATTAGGTAATGAGATAAAGACAAAACGTGAGAGGAATTACCAGCCAGGCGTCTTCACAAGGCAGGCAGTCCTCTAGCGTCCCTGTGCGACAGAGGGTCTGGGACTTGGAAAAACAGGTTATATCACAAAGGTCATACAGCATCACCCAGCTCCCACAACAAAGATTCCTACACCTATACAATCACTGAAGAAATACACACAGACACAAAAATGTAGGCTGCCCCCCACAATCCAATCTGTGATGAAATCAAGTTAATCAAATACATTTCAGCTTAAGAATACTTCATTTGTTTATTTTTTCGGTGGTACAAAAATTCGTTAAAACCTTGAAAAGAACTTTTTATACCAACCTTTTAGCTTCCTAGAACTCACTGTAACGTACAATTTTTCCTAAGCTTGAAATAAATCACAGTCAAGGAAAAAAGCAATCAATGGAAACGACCAAGGATTTTCTTCAATAAACAGAATTTAAATAATAGCTTTTAACTGAGGGAACAACTTATAGTAATAATAGACAAAGCGCAAAACTCACATTTTCTTAAACTTTGAATGAACATGAAGTATAATTCTTATTAATTTACCAACAAGATTACTTAAGATACTCACTTTTTAAACCAGTTTACCTCAAAGCCCCCTCTCCTACCACACAATACTTCTATCCCTAAACATGAAAAGATAAAGTAGAGGAGGCTCCAATCAAGCCAGTGTGTTTTATTCGACTTCACAAAAAAAAAAAAAAAAAAAAAAAAGTCACCATCAACAATGAAAACCCTACAAAGTTACAAAGCTGAGAAATTGGGTAAAAGAATAGTGAGGCTTTCCTCCCTTCAACCATATTCCCTCCAAGGGATGACCAAATATTTTTAAAAGAGGGGTGAGCCAACTAAATACGATTTAAAATATGCCCTAAATCATCGATGAACACATTTTAAACTCTGGCAGGTAAGATATGGGTTTAAGAGCACTTACTTTGTAAAAAACTGAAGAGTCTAAGGAGAAACTCTAGGTTTTGTACCCGTGTTACTCCTACATGCCTCCTTCCACATTAATCACACTCCCCCTCTAACAGCTTTTAAAAGAATATTTTAAATATTGGAGGAGTTTAAATCTCAGCTTTAGAACATGAACTTAGGATGTGAAGGTCCTCTGTTGGTACAAGTCACACCAGGTACCATTTATAGACAATGAACCGAAATGAAAAGAAAGGTGGGGCCAGAGGGGAAGCTTCATGGGCCTCCAACTCCTCTACGTGTTTAAATAACTTACCAGAGAAATTTAGGTGGAGAGAGGATTGCATAGATTGTAGTCTAAAATAAAATCCTTTAAAAAACATTCAGTTTAAAAGAGTAAATTTTGTGTATATAATGTGTTAAAGTGGCATTACAAATCCATATAGTCCCATTCAAATTTTATCAAGGTGAAATCATGAAGTTTTTCTGTTTTCTCAAAGTAAACAAAAATTTCCTAAAATTGGAGCCAGGACAAAGAAATGCAAAATCAAAAGAAAGAGATACACAGTAGAGGTTCTAAGTAAAGGATCCTCTGGAGCCAGCCCACAACACACACGGGCTATCTGGCTGGGCAGCCAGTGGAGGCGACAGTATTCACCTTTCCAGAAGCAGGGCCTTTAGACCAAAACAAAACAGCAACAACAACAGCAACTAAAAATCTTAAATAAAAACCAATGAAATCGAAGTGAAGGCCTGGGGATCCTTCAGTCACTTCTGTAACTAGACACTGAAAGGGCCATTCTCACACTGATACAGAATCAGGCAAGGCTAAGAACATGTTTGAAAAATCACTGATAACTTTTTGTTACTGATCCTAGCCTGAAGCAACATTTGTTCTCTAGCTCTCCCTTTCCATAACAGACCACTAACAGTGTTTATTAGGATGGTCATTTAAGTCTGACAACTGGAAATAAAGACTAACAGATTAAGAAAAACCAATTCTAAACAAACAATAGCAGAATATTCAACAGATGGAAACATGAAATTAAACACAGAATTAGTATAACTTACATGTTTTAAAAGTATATATACTTCATTTATAAATATTTCTAATTGACAATCTATTGAGAATCATAAATATTCAAGTGAACATTTGAATTTTCTCTTTAAGAGTTCAGAATTCTTTCTTCAAGTCTTTGAAGATTAGTCTCCTTCTGCCGAATGTCCAAGACTAACAGGCTTCACACAGTCAGATTATGTCTCTAATTAGACATATAAAAGCCTTTATTACCTACTGTGTTGTAATAAGACTTTAAAATTTTGTAACTCTCTTATACTTGTAGACAGCCTATGGAAGAAAAAAGAACATATTAGTACAGTTAATATGTGCACATATTTCAAATTACTGACACTGCTCTATGAGCCATAATTTGAAAGCAAAACCCACAATAAAAGAATATAAGCAGCACTGAACAATTAAATTTTTATTTTTTAAATGAGTACGCTGTACTTATTGAGGCTTGACACACATGCTCATTTATGTCTCTACCCACTAGCATCACATGACAGAGTGATGCGCGGCCAGGTGTCCTGAGATAAAACTGTATTCAAGAGGCTCTCAGATAAAACTACTAATTCTTTCAGAAAAACTAATGCACAAACTTGCCAAGGTGCAACACATAATGTTATGTGTTAATGCAGCCAGAGTCATTTACTATTTAAATGGACCGATAATCAGGTAGAAGATACGATGAAAATATTCCACTAACAATTAAGAAAAACTATAACAAAAAAAAAAAGAAAAACTGTAACATTCTCTAAGGAAAAAGTAAATGTACAGAATCCATATAAATTTAAAGAATGAAGGTCAACTAAGATGAAAAGGAGAGTGGCTAAGTAAATTGTGGTATGTCCTTGTAACAGAATATTGGCACATATTTAAAAGACAGACTTTTTTTTTTTTTTACTCAATTTGCCAACATATAGCATAACCCCCAGTGCTCATCCCACCAAGTGCCCCAAGAAACAGACTCTTAACTACAGAAAGCGCTCTGCTGGTTCCCAGAGGGGAAGTGGGGGACGTAAGAAACAGGTCCCAATGAAGGAGCGTACTTGTCCTGAAGAGCCCCAGGTGTTATACGTTAAGTGTTGAATCACCATGTTATACAGCTGAATCTAAAATTACACTCTACGTTACTTATGCTGGAATTTAAAAAATAAAAAATAAAATAATGCTTATGTATCTGGAAGCTAGTAAGAAAATAAACCTTAAAGCTTATCGCAAGAAAAAAATTCTATAACTGTGTGGTGATGATGTGGGGACAGTTCTGCAATATATATACATAGAAATATCAAATCATATTGTGATTTGATTTCATGTTGTGCACCTGAAACTAATATAATTTTGTTTCTCCAAAAACAAAATAATCCTTATGAAAAAAATTTAATAATTTTGGGAAATGACTGTAATACAGTACCAGGTAAAACAGAACAGGAAAAATACACAACTCTGTTCAATTCTGTTAACACATACATACATAAACACACGCATACACGGAAATATTTTACTTATAAGTAGAGGAAAAATACA